AGCTAAGGTCACGCCCAATTTTTTTTTGAATTTTTAAAATTGATTTTTGAATTTTTGAATATAAAAAAATTGATTTTTGAGAACTGAGTGTGGCATTGTCCAAGCTAAGGTCAAGCCCAAATTTTTTTTTGAATTTTTAAAATTGATTTTTAAATTTTTGAATATAAAAAAATTGATTTTTGAGAACTGAGTGTGGCATCGTCCAAGCTAAGGTCACGCCCAATTTTTTTTTGGATGTTGAATGACATGATATTTGAAATTCAAAATATTGATTTTAAAATTGATTTTTGAATTTTTGAATATAAAAAATTGATTTTTGAGAACTGAGTGTGGCATCGTCCAAGCTAAGGTCACGCCCAATTTTTTTTTGGATGTTGAATGACATGATATTTGAAATTCAAAATATTGATTTTAAAATTGATTTTTGAATTTTTGAATAAAAAAAATTGATTTTTGAGAACTGAGTGTGGCATCGTCCAAGCTAAGGTCACGCCCGATTTTTTTTTAGATTTTGAATGGATTTTTGAATTTTAAAATCATTTTTTAATTTTTGAAATTAAAAATATTAATTTTTGAGAACTGAATGTGGCATCGTCCAAGCTAAGGTCACGCCCAATTTTTTTTTGAATTTTTAAAATTGATTTTTGAATTTTTGAATATAAAAAAATTGATTTTTGAGAACTGAGTGTGGCATTGTCCAAGCTAAGGTCAAGCCCAAATTTTTTTTTGAATTTTTAAAATTGATTTTTAAATTTTTGAATATAAAAAAATTGATTTTTGAGAACTGAGTGTGGCATCGTCCAAGCTAAGGTCACGCCCAATTTTTTTTGGATGTTGAATGACATGATATTTGAAATTCAAAATATTGATTTTAAAATTGATTTTTGAATTTTTGAATATAAAAAAATTGATTTTTGAGAACTGAGTGTGGCATCGTCCAAGCTAAGGTCACGCCCAATTTTTTTTTGGATGTTGAATGACATGATATTTGAAATTCAAAATATTGTTTTTAAAATTGATTTTTGAATTTTTGAAATTAAAAATATTAATTTTTGAGAACTGAGTGTGGCATTGTCCAAGCTAAGGTCACGCCCAATTTTTTTTTGGATTTTGAATGAATTTTTGAATTTTTAAAATCATTTTTTAATTTTTGAAATTAAAAATATTAATTTTTGAGAACTGAATGTGGCATCGTCCAAGCTAAGGTCACGCCCAATTTTTTTTTGAATTTTTAAAATGATTTTTGAATTTTTGAATATAAAAAAATTGATTTTTTGAGAACTGAGTGTGGCATCGTCCAAGCTAAGGTCACGCCCAATTTTTTTTAGATTTTGAATGGATTTTTGAATTTTTAAAATCATTTTTTTAATTTTTGAAATTAAAAAAATTGATTTTTGAGAACTGAGTGTGGCATCGTCCAAGCTAAGGTCACGCCCAATTTTTTTTGGATGCTGAATGACATGATATTTGAAATTCAAAATATTGATTTTAAAATTGATTTTTGAATTTTGAATATAAAAAAGTTGATTTTTGAGAACTGAGTGTGGCATCGTCCAAGCTAAGGTCACGCCCATTTTTTTTTGAATTTTTTAAAGTTTATTATTGAATTTATGAAATTAAAAAAATTGATTTTCAAAACTGAGTGTGTCATCGTCCAAGCTAAGGTACGCCCAATTTTTTTTTGAATTTTTGAAATTAAAAAAATTGATTTTTGAGAACTGAGTGTGGCATCGTTCAAGCTAAGGTCACGCCCAATTTTTTTTTGGATGTTGAATGACATGATATTTGAAATTCAAAATATTGTTTTTAAAATTGATTTTTGAATTTTTGAAATTAAAGATATTAATTTTTGAGAACTGAATGTGGCATCGTCCAAGCCAAAGTCTAAGGTCGTGCCTGATTTTGACATTTTCAAATCTTAGCTATGGCACATAACGAAACAAATTGTTAGTTACAAAAGCTTTCTTTACAAAAGCATATTTGTTAAGATATTTGAGATTAAATATGGGGTTAGGGGTTGAAATGGTGTTGGGGGTTGAAATGGAGTTGGGGGTTGGTGGTAAGAGATATGATATAGGGGTTGGGGATAGGGGATAAGGGTAGGAGTGAGGGGGTAAGAGATAGGGGTAGGAGATAGGGGTAGGGGATAGGGTAGGAGATAGGATATAAGAGACAAGAGATAAGAAATAGAAGTAAAAGGTAAGAGATGAGGGGTAAGGGATAGTATGGGGTTGGGGGGTGTGAATGGGTTTACACTGTTTTCTGATAAGAGGTATGTTGTACGTTCAACGTTAAAGTTAGAACTAAATGATAAAAATAAAAATAGTTTAATAGCCCGAGTTCTCTATGAATTGTTTTAAGCCTTCTTTCTAAGATATTAAACACTACAATATTAGCCAGAAACTTAATATACTAAGCTGCTAACCTTAGTTACTAGTTTGTTACTGCTTCTTAATATACTATATCATTATTATAATTCCACGACTACTCTATATTTATTCGGTACCTTTATTAGACATGAAAATGCTCTTTCGTGGTTGCAGACTCGGCTGAAAAACTTTTTTTTGATACTTATAATTTTTAAAATATTCAAAATATTATGACAAAAAATCTGGATGTATTATTATTATTTATACAAAAATGTCTATGTATTTTTTTACTCGTTATAGGCTAAACCTGGGCGTAAAGCATTGGTTCAACCTGAATCTGTCTTTATTGTACTAGAACGATACAAAGATCAATAATTTGACAACGGAAAATTAAGAGGACTATCTCATGAGATTTGGGAAACTTTGTATTCGGAACTTAACTATAGAGTTCCAAAAAAAACATTATATATCTCGGTCTTACAAGATCGACATCAATATCAATCAAAATTAAAAAGTAGTTTGGGAATTGGATTTATTTCGAAAAATGATAACTCTTTTACATCTACTACCTGTAACACAAGTGATGAAAGTGACTCTAGCAAAGGAATAGAAACCTCTTTCAGACTAAATATTCCTTATACAAGATATCTTGAAATGAAACCAGAGGCCACATAATATAAAAATAAAAATAGAGTTAGAACCTACCAAGTTTTAAAGCAAAATGTATGGTCTGACATCATAAACGATGAATTTTTAAAAAAATTTGAGCTACCCTGCAATTTTGTGTACAAAAGATGCAAAGTGAGAACAAATACTTCACACAGTCGATATTTTTTGGATTTTCAAGCTACATGCAAAGATTGCAATAACAGCTTAAAAGGATGGAGTGAAAAAACACCGCTCAAGGGGGAGCCGTTAGAGATAATTATTTTAACCAAAGACACAAAAGGTATGGAGGCTGATCATTTGACTAAAAGATATCTTAAAGGCAATAAGCGCAGAGTAGTTGCTACTGAACTGGCAAAAGACTTAGCCAGTAATTGGAGACGAAAAAAAGCTACAGAAGACATGGAATTTGATTCTTTATCCCCTCCAAATTTATATCGTCATAGCGTGTTACGTAAAGCGAAGCAAGAGGAAACGACAAAAGCTTAGGTATTACAATTAGAGACCCAGTATATTAGTTGAGTTAAAACATACTCAATTCGCAGAATCGATTCATACAATAGGCATCGACCCATTCTTGGTTCACTATTGGAGCAACCAACAAATTATAATTTATAAGGATTTATGCAAAAAGTACAACCAAATTATCCATAGATGCTACAGGCGGCCTCGTTAAAAAATTAAAGCGAACTTGATGGACTTAATTTCAGCCCATATATTTTTATACGAGGCAGTCATAAACACATCATACGGTCAATTCCTATAAATCAAATGATTTCCGAAAAACAAGACACTCTAACAATATGTTCATGGCTTACGCAGTGGCTACGTTCGGCTGTTAAAACGCCACATGAAGTGGTTTGCGACTACTCTAGTGCATTGTTAAGTGCAGTTACTAGATCGCTTTGTAATTCCAGCATGGAAAATTATGTAGGTCAATGTTTTAATGTGCTAACGGCAAAGAAAAAACTTTGCCTAAATCTTTTGTACGCATTGACGTTGCACACATGATTAAAATATTTTGCCGTATACCACTGTTTAAAGGTATCCAGAACAAAAAATTGAAGCAATTTTACGTAAGATGTCTACGACTTTTAATTTCTTCAATTAGTTTGAACGAGTTCACAGAAATTTTAAAATCAATATTAACAGTGGCATTAAGTGAAACGGATGTTTGGTCAAACAAAATGGCTACTCCGACAGAATGTAGCAGAAATTTGTTTATTAAACAAAATTAAAGGGATTGACGCCAACCAAGACTACTCGTTTGATTCCAATAACGAAACAGAAAACATTGTTTTTGACTTTGAAGAAAATCCATTAGAAGAGACTTGCAGTAATTTAAAAGAGTATCTACAGGACATTAAAAAATATTGCTGTTGTAAATTCAAAAGTTAAAGGTGACCGCGATTCTGCTTATTATTTACCTGAATTAAGTAAAACTATTTTACGTTTATGCAACCATTTTCCAATGTGGACTGGAGTTATGGTTCAACTATTTCAATCTCCATACACAATTGCTTCTTCATCTCATGTGGAAAGTGACTTTGGTAATTTAAAAACACGTATTCTGCGTTTTGAAACGAGACCAATGACTGCCGATCGGTTTGTGGCAAAACATTTAAAATCCATTGAAGGCAATGCCATACTATTCCGAAGTCAACAACTTAGACATGATTTTGATAATCATCTACCGTCTAGCGTTTCAGTCATTGATACAGACTGTAAAAACAATGAAGAATCAATTCCAGGTACTTGTTCAAGCGTTGAAGACTGTAAAGACAAATCAGATAATGTCATTAATGAAATTAACGAATTAGAAGGAATAGAATCTCTTTGCAGTGATAAAAGTTCTACTTCACTTAATTCATTAGATGCTTATGAAAATTGGCGGGGGCTGGGTAATCCAGAAATTCCTGTATTCCCTGGAAACAAAATTGGTAAAAAAAACGTATAACCACTTACATGGACCCAGCTCCCGAAATCGATCGGTATTTGCAAAAGGCAAATACAAGGTCGAACCTAAATTCTCTTCTCCTTAATGGTAATATTGCAACACCCGTTAGTTATGCGAAAAAAACATTTTTATTGATGAACACGTGTCCATTTGATGCACTTGCATGCATTATCACAATGGCTTATACTGACATAGCATCATACAAATTGTTTATGGATAACAATAACAACCAAATGCTAAAGTTTTGTAAAAATCTGGCTCTTAACGGACCTTCTAAGACAACCTATATTGATAAATTGGAGCTATTAAAACCTATATTTAAAGGTAGTGATAATATTGCAAAAACACATGTCATTGATAGCCGTTGCAATGTTGCATTTGTTATAACAAAATTGTTGCAAAGCGCACCTTCGGCCATACAAGAAATGCGTTGCTCGAATAAGATGTGTAAAAATTATAAAAAAACCGTCGAAAGTCCTACTTTAATTATCAGATCAAAAACGAAAAGATTTACCGAATTACAACAATCTATTGAAGATTATATTAAAGAAAAAACGTATGACTGCGGAATCTGTGAGGGTGAAATACGTTCATCGAGAAAATTAATGCCTCATCTGTTTTATTGAAACGGACATATTTAAAGAAAACGGACATTTTCAATTAAATGAATTCCCCACGGAACTACGAATAAATGATGACACGTAAGAATTATAATGAAAATGTGTATAACTGTTTTAATATATTGTTAGTACTGTTGGATCCGCTTACACACATACACGTATGTGGTGAATTGGCCACCCTGTCTGTGCCGCCACCACCGGTTTACGGGATAGCGTTAATATAACCTTTATGCAAAGGTTATGGCAAGCGAGTCTTGAATGGGACAGTAATTTACCAGAGGACTTAGATAAGTTATGGGGTCAATTTGTAAAAGAGTTGCCGTCAATCGATAAAATAATGTTGCCTCGACATATCGACATGCGCGTGTATTCGAAAATTGAATTAGTAGGATTTTCCGATGCCTCGCTACGTGGCTACGCGGCCGTTGTATATTTGCGGGTGGTAGACAGTTCCGGTCATGCCACGGTGAATTTCGTCACCTGTAAGACCAAAGTAGCACCAATCAAAACCACTAAATGTCAAACTACAGTGCCGCGCCTCGAACTCTGTGCTGCTCTATTACTCGCTACTACATTAAATCGCGTAAAAACCTGTCTAGACATTGATATTTCAAATATTTATGCGTGGACCGACTCTACGGTAGTATTGTCGTGGTTAACGGTCAGCCAAAAATCATTTAAAGTATTTGTAACGAACAGAATCGCAAAAATACAACAATTATTACCGGATTGTAAATGGTCTTATATCAATACAACCGATAACCCGGCGGACCCGGCATCGCGTGGTTTATTACCCCATGAAATGGTCTTGTGTGACATTCACCGAGAGGGTCCGACGTTTTTACGATTACCTGCTGAACAATGGCCGCGACATAAGTGTGACCTATTAAAGCCGGAACAATTACCAGATTATCAACAAAGGGCCGTAATACTTATTAACGCTGACAATGAAACCGCCGCCGATCAAATTATACACCGTTTTTCTTCGCTAACCCGTATGCAAAGGACGCTCGCCTATGTATATCGTTTCCGCTTTAAGCCTACACCGACCGGCCCTCTGTCATTTTCCGAACTTCATTATATTTTAAACCAAGCTGTACGGTTGACTCAACAAAGATATTTTAATGATCTCAAAAGGCAATTAATAAGTCGATTTGTTGTTACACCTGCATCTTTGGCCCAATTATCACCATTCATTGATTCGGACGGACTTATACGAGTTGGTGGCCGCCTTCGCTACGCATCGCTTGACGCAGACGCAAAACATCCCGTTCTACTACCTAAAACGTCACACTTATCTGAACTAATAATCAAGCATTACCATCAGGGATATTTACATGCCGGTCCAAAATTAGTTTTATCAATGATGCGACGTAAGTTTTGGATACTTTCCGGTCGCGATGCGGTAAGACATTTTATTTATACGTGTGTCCCATGTATACGTCATAAGGCCAAACACCCTAATCCGTTGATGGGCAACCTGCCCCTAGCGCGCGTTCAATCCACCCGAGTGTTCATGAACGTCGGCATGGATTATGGAGGTCCCTTTATAATCAAAGAAAGTCGCCGTCGCAATGCCCGTACACAAAAATGTTATTTGGCTTTATTTATTTGTATGGCCGTGAAAGCCATCCACTTAGAAATCGTGTCTGACTTATCAACGGATGCGTTTCTAGCCGCGTTAGACCGCTTCGTCGCCCGCCGGGGTATACCCAGTAACATATATTCAGATTGTGGCAGTAATTATATCGGAGCAGCGCGTCAATTAAAAGAACTTTTTAATGACATTAATACGCAATCGGCTGTTATGACTCGGGTACCGTGTCAATGGCATTTTAACCCACCTGCCGCGCCGCATATGGGTGGCTTATGGGAAAGCGCTATAAAAAGTACAAAACATCACTTAAAACATGTTATTGGTCAACAAGTTTTGACGTTTGAAGAATTGCATACTCTCGTTACACGCATCGAAGGCATTCTTAACTCGAGACCATTATCGTCCTTATCGTCCGATCCGCATGATCTATGTGCCCTAACACCGGGTCATTTTTTAGTCGGCCAACCAATAATGGCCTTACCGGAGAAGGATTTTACAAATGTCAAAACCAACCGTCTTCACCGCTGGGAGCTCTTAAAACAGCTACATCAATCGTTTTGGGTACGCTGGACAAAGGAGTACTTGAGTACATTACAAGGCCGTCTCAAATGGTACAGTACAACGCCAAACTTATCAATTAACGACCTCGTAATCGTTGAAGCTCCAAACCGTTCGCCTACCGATTGGCATCTCGGGCGCGTAATTGAGGTCCATCCCGGTTCCGATTCGATCGTCCGTACCGTAACTGTAAAAACGCAAAATGGAGTTATTAAACGGCCAGTAGTAAAACTCGTCAAGTTGCCCTCTTCTTAATCCTTTCCTAAAACTTTCCTGGTACATTAAAAAAAAGTATTGTAATAATTTTAAGTAATAATTTTAAGTCAAAAGCTAATTTAATATCACCTATTGATCACGTGAAGAACGTGGGATTTTGAAAGCCTTCAACTTTCAACGCTGGGAGTATGTTGGATCCGCTTACACACACACACGTATGTGGTGAATTGGCTACCCTGTCTGTGCCGCCACCACCGGTTTACGGGATAGAGTTAATATAACGCTTTTCGATACACTCTCGCTCGTTCTTCTGTCCGGTGTGCGCATCGAACGTTTTGGTTCCCGACGCGAGCGCCGATTTCCATCGCCGCCATATTAGCCTTCGCCTCATGGTCGCTAATTAGCAAAAATCATTTGTGTTGTTAATCGTCCTAACGATTCGCGCGTGCCCTTGTACGCATTATAGTTAATCGCCCTAGCGATTCGCCCGGACTACACATAGTCGTGTTTTGTTGAAATCGCCCTAGCGATTCGCTCGTACCTCCGTACGCATTATAATAAAATCGCCCATGCGATTCGTATGCACCTTGGTGCATAATTAGCTCGCCCAGCCGACCGGTGGTGTGTGTGTCGGAAGATTCATGTATGTTGTCATCATCGAATCAACGTCAACCCGTGCAAATAATCAATGGTCGATAAGTACCATCTATTATAATATATTTGTTGTTCTATATTGTTGCGCCGGGTGGCATTAGATTATAAGTATTCTCCCCCCTGTCCCCATTATTTAATAGCTTTACATTAATATTATCATTTGTTAATACATACACTTTTATTGCATTTAATTTCTACATATCTATTTATTGTTTAGTACCATCTTTTATCCATACCATACAGTCCACTTTATCCCCCTTTATCTTAAGAATCCTTTGAAAATTGAACCACGCTATAATCCGACCCAACCCGTCTATAGATATCCGGGCGGTCGATTAAACAAGTACATCGAACAATATATATATATTAAGTCTAAGCGACTTTATTATTATTTAAACTTAGTATTTTAAATAATGAAGTTACACGCAAGTTATGACATAATTTTTATATTAAACAATGAAAAACAAGACAGCGCCTTATCTTGTGATAATACGTTGATATGATAAGAAATAATACAACATCTCCCTTTTCAAGTTTTCAACTTACAATTCAAACAACGTTGACTTATAAATAAAGATAAAAAAAATAATTTTACAAAATATTTAACATGAGCTTAATATACGACAAATACATAAATGTACCAAAATATACATAATCACTTAAATTATTATTAATAATAATCATGTTACAAGTACATTATTATCATTTTTATTTAATTTTTTCATGAATATTGTATTTTTCCTAAGTATTTTGTTTGTTTTTTTTCAACTCTCACCAAGTATGATCTAGGCCAACTAGTTACCTACCTACATACAGACTGCTTTGCACCATTGTTTTTGAAAATTTATCCTGTATCATTATGGGCTCGTTTAATTTAAACTGTCTCTCTTCACTTGTAGCTCCTTTATAATTAACAACTTCAAAATTAATACTTTCCTTCACATTTCTTATTTTTCTATTTCAACTTTATTATTTTACCTAGTGACCTCATTGTAAATCCCCCAAATGTTTTAATAACTACCTCACTTTTTTCTAATTTTATTGATTTAATTTTTTTATAAATTTGTAAAGGCATCACATTCAACTGAGCGCCTGTGTCTAACTTTATTTCCACATAAAAACCATTTATTTTCACCTTATCTGTCCACATATTATTTGTACCTACTTCAACTTCATCTAAACACAAGTATTTACTCACTTCATTTTCTTCCTCAACCGTATCTATCTGTCTATTTTTACTCTTCTCATATTTTGTTTTATTTTTACACATTAAGGCAAAATGATTTTTAAATCCACATATATTACAAGTCTTATTATATGCTGGACACTCATTTAAATTGTGTACTTTAGCACATTTATAACAGTTAAATTTGTATTTTTGTTGATTACCATTTTCCTTCGTCGTCGTCTTCCTTGGATGTTCTCCCGTAGCCTTGATCAAACACTTTTTTTCCGCTGTTTTCCCATTGACCATTTTGTTGAATTGATTTTGTTCTCCTTTTTCTTTTCGAGATAATCAATTTGACTTCCATTTTCTTGCACCAGTATTTTTCTATGAATTTCTGCCTGCTCGACTGCTTGGCAGTGACACACAACTTTATCAAGACTTAAGTCTTTACGCAGTAATTTTGATTGAAGATCTTTATTATTGATAGCAAGAACAATTTTCGTTCGCAACAATTTGTCCTCTGTCTTCCCAAACCCACAAACTTTTTATTAAATTCCTTAAGTCGGCATACAATTTGTCAAATATCTCAACAGAATCTTGTTTTTCTCATAAAAAACTTATAATACTCCATTACTTCGTTTCGTTTTGGTGTATAGTATTCTTCTAATTTATTGAAAATGATTTCAACCGTTTCATCCTTTGACTTTACATTAAATGTTCTGTATATTTTAACGCCCTCTCTGCCAATTAAGGTCAACAAGCGTGCCACTTGCACTTTTTGAGGCTTTTGCGTTGTCTATGTGGCTTCGAAGAATACCAGGACTTCTTCCTTGAATAATTCGTAATTTTCAGCCACATTGCCAGTTAATTTCAAACATTCTGGTTTATTAAATTCCATAATTAACACTTTATTTCACACGTGCACTTTTTTTTTTATCTTATTCAATCGTGTAAAAATTAATTAGTTCGCGACTGCGCCATGTTTTAATATATTGTTAGTACATCGAACAATATATATATTAAGTCTAAGCGACTTTATTATTATTTAAACTTAGTATTTTAAATAATGAAGTTACACGCAAGTTATGACATAATTTTTATACTAAACAATAAAAAAACAAGACAGCGCCTTATCTTGTGATAATACATTGGTATGATAAGATATAATACAACAATAACTATTAACTAAGATAAGAAATAATATAAAATAAAATAAATGAAAAACACTAATACAGTAAATTAATAAGACAACTGTGATTTTTTTAAATAAAATAATTAAAATTATTTATTTACAGATACATATTTTATGGCTTAGTCGCATACTATTCAGACCACTACGTTGCACACATTAGACGGTCCAAAAATGTATGGGAAATACATAACGACTTGGAAAAAAAAATTAAAAAAAACAACCGCAACTTCAACTAAGATCCAACCTCATATTATTACATATATAAAAAATCAAATTATTTAGAACTGTATTATTTTAATGTTTCATTTATTACAATACACTTTTTTTTAATTTGCAGCATAACTATGTATTATGTATTTAAATTATGTTTAATTTTTTTTTTTGTTAGATTGCCTATGAAACATTTTATTTTTATTTACAGCATTGTTAAAGTTATTTTTATTGGATTTAATACTATTTTTCAAGTACAAAGCCCTTATACAAGACCAAATTGTATAATTTAAATTTGAAAAAAGTGAAAATTAGTGATAATAATAATAATAATTTTTTATATTTTATTTATTGAGATTTTGTTAAATAAAACATTATACCTCGATAATTACAACATTATAACAATTGTTTAGCTATAAAATATTAAAAATCCATAGTATATTTATCTTACATACAATTTATTGTATGTTGTAACAAGTAATAATAATAGAAAGCTAGTTTATTATTTATACGTATTTATTTATTATAATTTACGGGCATAGCCCAGATTAACATTTGAGTGCATAATACATAATAATAAAATATAATGCACAATAATTAAAAATAGACGAAGAAGAGAAAAATATAGCCAGTATAAAGTGGCAAGAAAAAATAATATTAAATAATAATAGTAACAAAAATACAATGTTTTTAAAAGGTAAACGTTGTTCAAGGTCTTCATTGGCGTGGCACATAAGGCGAATAAGGGGAGAGTTTTGGAGATAACTGGAAGACAAATATGAAATATAAAAAGGGGCAGAATTTCTAGTTTGGCGGGCAGGTACCTACAGTAAAATTATTATTGGCTAAAAATGAGCGAGAGTCTACCAACCCGGAAAGAAGGCCAGATAAGAATATTTTGTTAGCCATATGCCTACGATCTGCAAGGCTGGGCAGGTTTAACACATGGATAATAGGTGAGTAGTCGTGGTGAGGACAAGGGACTTTGAACACGTAAAAGGCAAACCACAGATATTTTCTCTGGATTTGCTCAATCATTGACTCAACAGTAGTGTGAGGGTCCCAAATAACAGATCCATATTCAAGTATAAGTCTGACGAGAGCATAATAAAGAGCTTTCAGCGAGCCAGATAGTTTAAAATCGCGTGCAATCCTCTGGATAAAACCGAGAAGTTTAAGCGCTTTACAGCAAATATCTTCAACGTGTAAACGAGTTCTCGATAAATGGAAGCCGAGATCACGAACCAAATTACCAGCATGCACGACAGAATAGCTCATGAATTTTATAATTAAGGTCAGTGAGTCATTTATACGTATAATATTATATAATGAGAACGAAGAAAAAATTACAGTCTACTAAAAGCCTAAAAGTATAAAACATGGAATAAGCTTTAGCCTGCTTGTTCATAAATAGTGATTTTTTTTTATTTAAATTTTTTTGTGATTTATGATGATAGTAAAGTCCATATTATATGTTCTGGCCAAATAAACAATAATCTTGTTGTTTAGTTAATGCGCTACTTAAATGTTGTTTTCGGGCTGGGGGAGGGGGGGCAAGGCTAAAGCATGTTCCATGCTAAAAAAAAGAAACTTCTTAGAAATCGAGTGATTTAAGGTTTTGTAGACTGGCATTTAATACCTTTAAAGTATATGTTAGAATTGAACCTAATGAATTGATAAACGCTCTTAACTCGTCCAGAAACTCTGAGAGGGGATCAGAATAATGATAATATAATGGACATTACCAATTAGGTCAGACTCAGTATACATTTAATGATATTTACGTGACATTTAAAAAAACTAGATGGACTGGCCGGTACCACAAAGTACCGATATGACACAGTACAAAATATATCAGGCTTAATGTTACAAACTGTTTTATAGTGTATGGGTTCTATACCTTTTATACAATATTAATTATATCTACTGTGTCTCTTATACAAAGAAATTATAGCGCATGCATAAGTCGGTGAACCCCGTGTATCTTGTGTGGAACTAGGTTGCAAATGTTCTTAAGTCGGTTGCAATTAGTTGCAAACAGGTTGCTAAATATAAGCGAAGGTCCGGAGTTAATCGGACAAAGTGGGGGGGCTAGCCCCCCCTCTTGTAATTCGGTATATCTTGTTGGGAACTAGGTTGCAAATGTTTTCAAGTCGGTTGCAATTAGTTGCAAATAGGTTGCTAAATATTGGCGAAGATCCAGAGTTGATCGGACAAAGTGGGGGGGCCAACTTCACGTACGTTGCACAGTGCACATTTTATTTAAAACATATTTAAAATTTTGAAACATACGTTTCTTATCAACATTTAAAACAAAAATATTTATGTACGTAATGATTTGACGCTTTATAGCAAACTATGGGGGAGCTTAATAGCTTATGAGAAACATATTAGGTTTTAATTTGAATCTGAGTATGAGTAACCAAAATGTGTCTCAGAATAGTGTTTTTTTATTTTCCCAGTGTGATGACATTGAGAATCAAGAACATAGTGACAATCCGTCTACTCAAGTAGAAATTGGAGCACTTCGTCGTCTATTGCATGTCATTCACGGGGACCATCACGTAAGAGGCAAGCACGAACGACTACTGAAAAAGTGGAGGATGTGTTGACAAAGGCTGAGAAACGATTAGAATCTATCACTGCCGATGATTCATTTGACCGATATGGCAAACACATTGCAGATCGACTTAGGCAGATCAGTCCGAATCAAATCAAATTTGTTCAAAAATTAATAGGTGACGTTCTATTTGAAGGTGAAATGGAATCCCTAACCAGAAACTGCAAAATAGTTAATATGGAAGAGAAAGAAGATCACCACCATTCATCTATAAAACGCACTTATCCACCTCGATTTGAACAACAATATCAGTTTTCACAGTATAATGTACCTCGGAGTTGTACTGGAACATCTCAACAAATTACAAACCAAGTCGAAACAGGATCAGCTAAAACACCACTAATGTCACGTGATGTAGCTTCAGGCTTAGTAGAATATCTTAACACGTATTCAAGTGAAAATGCCTAAGGGTCTTCATTTTTTACTTATGATAATATCAAAAAATGTTTATCTTACCATTGTACGATTATCTAAATATTTGTATTTTGTTGATAAAAAAATGTAACATTTCGTTCAAAAAAGTAATATATTTGTACTTAATTTTGTATGTCTTCAGTTTGTTTTATAAAAATTAAAGTTAATACTTCTAAAAAAATATAATATTTAGTATTCACTAACCTTTGAGTAATCCTTTTTTAAAACCTGGTAGATTGCGTTACATGTTTCAGGAATTATTCTACTCAAAGCTGGTTTGGATACAATGGTTGTGAACTCCAAATCTTTATAGCTTCTCCCTGTAGCAAGGAATCTTAAGGTTGCTGAAAGCCTTTCATGCGGTGAGATAGCTTTTCTCATACAAGTGTCATCTTTCTTTATGTATGGCAATACAAGTGCCAACAATCGATTGTAAGTCGTAGCGTCCATACGCAAATAATTGCGCCAGTCATTAGATTCAGTACTTAATTGTTTCAGTAAATTGATGTGAGAGTACTGACCTCTTTTTAAAAGCCATTTCCTTGACCACTTTCTTTTGTTCACCTTTTTTTTCCTTAAAAGGTGATGCACCCGCACTAGAGAAACTATAGTAGAAATCAACAATAGTTCTTCTTCCATATTTTTGAAAACTCTGAACTACAAAAAAACTGAACTACAATTAAACTAAACGGAACTGAACTGAAGTAAAATATAGCTGAAATTGAAATGGAAAACTGAGTAATAAACGGAACGTGTAGACACTCAATCAAATGTACGTTTTATTGTTCGTTTTTACATATCCGATAAGACGTACAATAAGTCGTTACGTGTAAACCCCCCTTAAGATGGAAATCGAAAGCTCTGACATCGTGAGTATAATAATTAGTTAAAACAATTACAATCATTTAACGATATTGTTAGTATGTAAAAAATAATTATTACTATTAGTATTTATGTTGTGTCAATTCGATTTGATGTTATCTTTTCTTGTCTTTGACCTTTCACAATAAAATACTCTCCGATTATATACAAATACTTCTACTTAATATTAAAAAGCAAAATTTAAGTAGTTTTTTTTAAATTTTATTTCAAGTATATTGTTGTCTTGTTTTATAAATTGTTTTACGTCATACTTGTCATATCGTTACAAATATAATATATTATTCCTAAGCTGTAGATGTAGCAGATATAAATAGATAAAGAGGAAATACTTTAATAGTTTTAACATTCTTAATATATATTTATACATTATAAAACAATAAATGAAAAACCCCATTCTGTAGCAAAATCACAAATTTAAAATAGTCTGGTGGGAACTGTAAAATGACCTAATACAATTAAAAGTTTCCCTTAATTATTGGAAAATCATATCTCATAAATTAAAAAAAAACTAATTTTATATTAAAACAAATTTTGAACTTTTTTACATTTAAAATGTTGTAATAATACTTTTTTTTTTATAAAACAGTTTTATTTAGATATTTTCTTCAATTTATAAATAGGAACTTATGAGTGGTGAAATGTCAAAGAAGACAATCAAAGTAATCAACAGGGTTTGGACACATACGTAGAAAGTCTTCAATCTTAAAATCTGTTGTCAAACTTTTGATTATCTTCATATTTTTCACGCGACCAGTATGCTCTTTTGGCTCACTTTGGATAACATTTTTTCTTGGATGTTATTTCTTCGATGTATTCATATAAATGTTCATGATTAAATTCATACATTTCTCCGACAATATCCAAAAAAATTGGATCAGTGTCCGGGATAATACCTACTAAATTCTTTGTTAATTGAGTAGCGGTGTCGGATTGATTGAGTTAAAATTTAATCAATTCAGCTTTTACATTATTCAAATTGTTTTGAAATAAGTCCAATTTGATAATCAAAAATATTCGACATATATCGGGATAGTCTTCAAGCAGTCTTAAAAAATTGTATGAATACTTTTTATACAAAACTTCCCAGCCAAAATCTAAGAATTTCGGGTAATTAATGCATTCATCAAGACTTTCATAATCAGGCACTGGTACATCAATCTGGAACAAAATAATAATAATTATATCAGAATTATAATATTACAATTTTACACTTAATTTCGAAGTCTTGTTTTTAATAGGTTGAGAAATGGGTAAGTTTGGCCAAATTTTTAAAGTTTATTTCTGGATCAGAATTTAGAAATAACTCTTTACACAGCTCTTTTACTCAATGCCTCAGCCCCCCCCAAAAAAAATATCTAAATACGCCCCTGCATTTACTATGACAAGTAGAGATAGAGATAGGTTCAGAAAATATGAGTCAGGAAGTAATAAAAGAGCACGTCAACAACTAAGAGACGATTTTATAAAAAGACTAACGGGATCTTTCGATAAATATCATAAGCCATCTACATCTCAAGAAAATTATGCATCTGATGTCCCTAAAAGCAATAGTGAATATGTCGATATAATTTCTGATAATTCAACAAGTATTTGTGAACAAAAATCACCTCTTATATCTGAAACTGATCACGTCCTTCAGGATAACGTATCTAAATCTTTAGAAAATGAAGATTCTGTAGACACTTTATTATCTTCAATTTCTAATAATAATAATCAATCAACAGCTGTTCAAAATTTAAGTAATTCCACTTTTGAATCTCTAGTAGCAATAACTGATTTAACAGACCCTGGAAATTGGCCAATCCAACTTAGTCATGCTGTTCGTATCGAAATAATAAAAAACGGGCATATAAAGTGGAAAATTTTAATTATCCAATAGATTCCGAGCAAAGAAAGTTTTCCGATTATTACTATACTCGCAGATTGTCAAATGGTGAAGTTATAAATAGATATTGGCTTACTTATTCTAAAAAGAAAAACTGCGTTTATTGTTTTTATTGTAAGCTGTTTGCAATAAGCAATAATGAACTTAGTACAACAGGTGTAAATAATTGGAGACATTTGTCAAGAATCCTGAATACACATGAAAATTCTTCTAATCATTTACTACCATTAAAAGCTTGGTATGAACTTAAAACTAGAGTCAATAAATGTCATACAATTGAGAAAGACCATATGAAAATGATCAAAAAATAAAAAACTCATTGGCGCAATGTTTTACTAAGAGTTATTGCTGCAATACAGTATTTAGCCAAAACTAATGATGCTTTCTGCGGATGTTTAGATGTCTTATACGAGAAAAATAATGGTAAATTTTTAGGCATTATAGAGATGTTGGCAAAATTTGATCCGGTCATCTCTGAACATGTACGTCGTATTAAAGACAACGAAACGCATGTCCATTACCTTGGACATAATATTCAAAACTCGTTGATTTCCATGATGGCACAAGAGGTAAAAATTAAAAAAGTTAAGTTGATAAAAAATTCTACTTATTTTTCTGTCATTTTGGACACTACACCAGATGTTAGCCACTGTGAGCAACTTTCTATTATAATAAGAATTGTACAGATAGATTTAGAAAATGATTCTAGCTGTTGTGAAATAAAAGAATATTTCATGGATTATATACATTAGGGTGGTCCTTAGTCATAAATGAAGAATTTTTTTTAAAAGTTTTTCAATGGGCTACCCCACCATTTTATTCTTTACTATGAAAAAAAAATTTGGGTAGAATTTGGTTTTGATAACTCACCCCCTTCACGTGCCGCAAGGGGGTTGAAGAATGACCAAATGGGGTAGTTTTATAGTTTTTTGAGTTTAAATAAAAAATTATTGCATTTAGCATAAAATTACATAATAACTTTATGATAGATCATTAAAATCTCTATAAAAAAGGTGTTCACAAATTTTTCCAAAAATGCATTATTATCCAAGAAAAAAATAAAACATAATTTTTTTCATTTATTTGGAAAACATCTTTATAGGAAAAAATATGATTATTTTATTTCGTTCCCGGGTCGGTTTCTATACTTTTTTTTCTAACGACAATTTTCGTTTTTCACAATATATTTGTTTTAAACGATCTTTAAATACATAATGGTTGATCGTATGAAATTTTTCCTAATGATCTATTTTGTAGACAATTTAATTTTGTATAAAATGCATTAAAAGCGTTTTACTCGATTTCCAATCGTTCATCGTAAATGAAAAAAAATATGTTTTATTTTTTTCTTGGATAATAATGCATTTTTGGAAAAATTTGTGAAAACCTTTTTTATAGAGAATTTAATGATCTATCATAAAGTTAATATGTAATTTTATGCTAAATGCAATAATTTTTTATTTAAACAAAAAACTATAAAACTACCCCATTTGGTCATTTTTCAACCCCCTTGCGGCACGTGAAGGGGGTGAGTTATCAAAACCAAGTTCTACCCAAATTTTTTTTTCATAATAATGAACAAAATTGCGGGGCAGCCCATTAAAGTTTTAAAAGTTCATAAATAAGAACCACCCTAATATACATATTAGCTCAACTACCGGTATGGATTTATCAAATATTTTGATTGAAAAACTGAAAGAGTATGGTCTCAGCATAAATAACTGTCGAGGACAGTCTTATGATAATGGTGCGATACGGCAGGTCTCTATAAAGGTGTAAAGGCTCATATTTTAAGACAAAATCCTCGGGCA